TACTGGTTGCGGGTCACGGGCTCCATTGGGTGTCGAGGTGTTGGGCATTTTGGACATTGACCCAGCCCAAAGACTTACGACCCGATGCATTGGACACTGCTTCTTTGCGGGCCAGGCTTGGCTAGCCGAAGGCTCTGGTCGTTAATTGTCTAAGAAAATTCACTTGCCTTGATCTGGGTCACCTGGAGGTAATGCGCCCACAAACAAATCATGATATTGTTTCTACAAAGATCATTGTACTGTGATTTGCTCGACACAGTTTGGATTTAGACGTGTGTGAAGTATAAAATGACAAACTCTGAGAAATGAAACAGCTGCTCAATGAACGTTTGTCGTCAATGCAGTAAGGTCAACAGTAGTGTATGACACATTACTAGTCATCTCAGGCACATAAAAGAAAACGTGGAGGTTACACAACTGTATTTGCATTTCCCGTGACGTTTCGCTGCAGCATCCAAGCACACCTCATTCCAATGCTTGTTAAGCCAATTGCAATATCACATTCATGGTATACAGACAAACACTGAAATTTGAAGACTTCCAGTTCACCGATTTATTTCACTGGTGAACTCAACTCTATCTTAGAGTGAAAATGACTGTCTTCATGCATTGTACGGATGTTTCGTCAATGTCAGAGAAACACCATATCGATCGCCTGTGCTTCAGAATGAAGGGTGACACTCAATCGAAAGAACCCCAAGTAATAGCCAGAATTTGACCGCAAGATAAAGAAAGTAAGTGAAGGTTTATTTATTTGTATTTAGTGTATCGACCATGTGCTTGGACTTCGAACCACATATTTTTTGGGAGTACTAGAAAGTCAGCATGAAAAAAGTTGTTCTATGTGGTGTTTCAAGAGGGAGAGATAAAATCATGGTATGGTACAAACTAGTTGTGGGGGAATTAAGATCGCATAGTATGAAAAAGGTTGTAACGAGCCATGATGGAAGCCAACAAAATATTTTTGACACTTAGAAATAAAAACGATTACAATCGCACCATCTTCAAGCGTATTGCAGCCATGCTGTCTACAAATAAGTCGAGGAACGACCAAACCTTAAAACAGTGATGGGAGCAAAAATGCATAACAGGAATATATTTACCTGCTCGTAATTGTGGTATTCGTTGTTGTAGAGAATGACAACAAACGACTGTGTGGCGGTTGTGCGCTCCTGTGGAGTACGAAGTGAATGTGGTGTGAAAAGCCGCGGGTGCAAACGGCGTGCTTGAGACAACTGAAACAGACTACGCGCTTTCACATATTCAGCGCTGCGCTCCGTCGGAGCAGTGCGCGGCCACAACTCTTGATTCAATGTCAGTGCATCTCTCATTGGCGGTACGAGAGGAGTATGTGACAGATCAGGAGGCCACGTCTCTTGAATTGAAATATTGTCTGGTATTTCAATGACCAGATCTTCAGGGTTCATCCACAAATCATCCGCAATACGGAATTCGGGTTTCTCTCCAGGTTTCTTTAAAAACACCTTCTCCATGAGTTTTGACAGGGCTAACTGCGTCAATTCCGCCTGATCCTGTGGAGTATGAACTTTGCTCAGCGGACGATTATTACTAATAGGGGAGCCCTTGATGTGAGCAGGGGATAGAGAGGACAAAGATGAGGGGGTCAAGACTCGCTAAAGTACGTTTACAGAATCAACGTTCTCATCATATCTGTTCTGGAAATATAAACAAATATATTCCGCGGCACGGGTTTCTGAGGCTTTATGGTCACCTTGACTGCTTCAGTTTGATGATTAATTAGTTACTTTGTAATCCGAATGCGAAAGTAAACGTATCGTTATTTTTTATGACCTTCCGCAGAGTAAAGAATAGCAAAAGGTTAGGGATTCCATCGTTCGGCCACGGTAATTAGCCACCTAATCCCTGGGACTTGGAGTGGTGATCCATACGAGGAGGACAATAGGTTAGGTAAGGTAATAGACGAGATAATAGTGAAGCTGAATGACACCAAATGTTAAAAGCGACTACTCTCAGTAGTAATGCAAGTGACGTACAGAAACTGGAATAAGCACATCCCTAAAACGAGGTGTTCGAAACTGATATCACCACTCATCAACCCATTCCGTTTAGAATGAGTGATCGGAGAAGAAAATAAT